ATCGTTTGAAATATGTACCCTATGTTCATCGCCAGAAAAATCTTCCTGGTACCTAATTTTCTTTTAAATGAACCTGATTTTCTATTTGACATGCTAACAAATATTATCTGTATCGAATTATTTCAAGCTCGAAATCGAAGTATTTCAATGTGTAATCGATCATCGATTACTCTCCATTACTCATCAACTTATTAGATTTTTTTTGGTTGTTGCCGGCCCAGACATTTTTAGAATGTCCTATATATTACTATGAGAGTCAATTCTAGTTCGATGTTATTGGTCTAAAATATAATACTTTTTATCGTCATATCAATATGTGCGGATCGAGTTATTTGAAGTATGTAAACTGGACTTTAATGTATTACTCTTAGTGAGCATAAATTCAGCGACTCTTTGAAATGATTCTGTTAATTTGCATTTATAGATTACTTGGAGTCCGCTTGAAATACGTATGAAATCGATGTCTTTTTTTATAAGTTTATTTCATGAAATGTCAAGAAAAAACAAATTATAATGAAAGCCGTGTGTCTTGCGTGACTATCACCTTTCACTAGAACACCGCGTGACCTTTTGGCTGCCGTATGTAGATTTCGCGCGAAGTTATCATGTCTTCATGAAATGGGTTCTTGTGACTACAAAGCTCTATTAGATCATCACTTTCATGATAATAATCCTTGTGGTATAAGTAAAGAGTACCCGAATGAGGTAGAGCATTTGGAGCTAAATGAGTGTACTCGCGATGTATCCGGTCATCTGAAATCACTGAAGCTCAGCGCAGATGAAGGCATTGATACCGAGCTTAAACTTTTGCTAGCTCGAGTCGGTAAGTACCTTGGTTTTCCATTGTTTTTATGTATGCATTAAAGGTTCTAGTGATATAATCCTATCGTAAAAATTTAAGGTATCTTCGATGTCGACGCAAGCCATAAATCAGTAACTATTTGCCCGCGACATCGCGGAGAACAGGGCCTTCGTTGGAGAACGAGAAAAATCAACTGCTCAATTCCAAATGAAATCATACAGCATGTTGACTCAGCCAAGGGAAGTCATCGTGTCACAAGCTCATTGTCTGCAATCATTTTAAAGAACACCGGAACTCTTGTGCCTGTTGGACTGCGAAAGTGCGCTGCAAACCATGACTAATGCACACTCATGAATCTATAGCACAATACTAAAAAGTTGGAATGTTGTATGACTTTGTATGTTAGTAAAACGTATCATATTTGAGCATTTGTATGGGTAGTTGAATACATTCGGAAATAATCGATGTCTTGTTGACTCCTTTGCAGCCTGTGTTGATGTCGGACTTGGCGTACACAGGAAGACCGAAAATAATCATAATTATTTTGAGGAGGGTATAAAAAGAGGAGGAGAAAATAATTATATTCAGTATTTTTTGAGGAGGTAGTTAATTTTTTCACACTAATGACGTAACCTATTGTTCTCCCAAACAAAAGAGAGAGTTATAAAACAGCACTTACAATGTAAGCTTTTCTATCATTTACATTTTAACGGTTGAATATTTATGCTGCAATGAATAGAATTCAGATTGACATAGTATAGAGTCAGCAGTTGGGCCCGGATTTTCATTGGAAATGGCAATGGAAAAATGGAAAAAATGGTAGAATACTAATGAGACGTTGGTAGAATACTAATGAGGTGCCCCGCATTGGTAATTTATTCGAATTGAGGTCTTTTGTACACTTAATCTCGGAACAATAGTCCTTTTGTTCTCTATTGTTTCGTCTAAGAGGTTATTTATTGAGTGAATCTGACCTGTTAGTCACTCTGCGCTCTGACTTGCAAGTAATATTGAGAATTTGTTACAAAACCCTTTTTGTGTAGCCTCCTCCACTTTAATAACCACGCGGTGACCCGCACCAACCTTTGCCAGCTTTCGTAGCGTTCTTCTAAGGCGAATACTTCTGTACTTGTCATAGTTATTGCTGTTTTCTTGACTTCAGAAAGGAGCTCTGTCACTTCCATCTTCCCCAAATCTTCACTGTTTGGAGCTACTTTATCTGGCCACTCACTAACATCACGCGCTAGCATTTGGTAGTGCACGATGTAGCAATACGTGGTGTTTTCCTTTGCAGCCTTCAATAAAACATCCGGGTTTCTTACAGGTTGCACTTACGTGCTTTGGACCAGTTGGAAGTAAACAGTTGAAACATAGTCTCTTGTCTTTCACGAYCTGTACTCTCTCTTCAACTGACTTTCTTTGTATCGTGTAACACTTTGATGGCTCATGCTGTCTTTCACAAAACGAACAGTCATTCTTTGGGCTGTTAACTTCTTTTCTCGAACTAGTGTTGAGTGCTATTGCTGAGGAACTTGCACACCTTTCACTGCGGTGATAATTACCGACATTGGTTTTTCGTTCGTCAGTGGCACGTGTCTTGGGCGTTTGACCTGCTGCTTCTGACGCTTCTTCAGACATGACATGCGATCTCAAAAAACGAAAGAAGTATTCCACAGTTACCCTTTTATCATCTCCCTCATTTTCAATTTTTGAAAGTTCAAATTCCCACTTTTTTCTCACGTCCTGAGGCAACTTGGACTGCAGTATAGGTACSATGATGCGATKGCAGTACTTAAGATTTGGTTCGTAAGATTCAAGTGTGTGATATCTGTTCACCATTGTGTCATACAGATAACACATTGATTGGGCGTTAACCCTCTCCTTTTTCTCGATCTTTAGTATCGAATCCAATAAATGCTCAACAACAATTCTTGTCCTTCCATATCTACTTTGGAGAATCTCAATGGCTTTGGTGTAATTTTCACTGGTCACCTCGATATATTCTATACAACGTTTAGCAGAACCCTTGAGATACATAAGCAGGTAGTTAAATCGTTCTCTATTTCCTAATGAGGAGTTCTCATGGATACAACTTCTGAACTGATCCCACCATGGTATCCATTCTAGGATTTCTCCACTAAAATCTGATAAAGTAAACTTGGGTAAACGTAGATGGTTCAATCCTGAACAATTCTTATGAGTATCCACATCAGGAAGTTTTACAGTGAGTTTTTCCTCTTTTTTACTTATTGAATCAATATAATTATTCGCTTTGNAATCATTTTAGAAACCTTCTTTGATTTGCAAAGAAGAAGGGATGTTAATATTGGGATCCCTGTGTTGGGCCCACGTGATCTTTGCATGTTTGTAGTAAACGTGTTGACCGCCATCTTGTCTTGTCGTCTCTTCTATTTGACTCTTTGTCTCAAGTAATAGAGCACCAAAGTGTGAAACAGACAGGTCTTGTAAGTCGGGCCATTTGTAGAATACCTTGTTGCGTATGGGTTATTATACAGTTCAGGGAGGAGACCATGGAGTTTATGATGCTGATTCTGCATCGACAGGAAAAACAACTTGCAGAGGTCTTCAAGCCTTTCCTTCACTCGTGGAATCCTTGCTCGCAAGCAGGCTTCGTTGTAGCTGTGATCCGGGTATATAACTCGCATCGTTCGCCTTTGGATGGATTCAAGTTGTTCGAAGAGGAAATTCGGGGTGCTGTAGAACCATGCTTGGCAGGAATACTCAAGGACTGATCTGATACAAGTTGTGTAGAACGTGACAAGRTCTTGTTCGGCAACACTTGCTCTTTTTAGGAGGCGTACAGAATAAATCCTCTAAGAGGTCTTCTTAATTAGATGCTCAATATGAGCGTTCCACTTCAGATTAGATGATATAATTAGGCCTAATAATTTATAMGATGTTACTCGTTCAATTGGTCTGTTATCGATTGTAATGTTACTGATTGTAGGTGTTTTCCTTTTGAAGCAGACCAACATTTCCTTGCATTTGGTGGGGTTTAACTGCATCTTCTTGTCATGAACTTCACGACAGATATCATTGGACTTTTCTTGAAGAGAACTTATAATGTCAGCACGGAGAGTTTCACCAAGAGTGATGTCATCCATGTACTTCCAGCACCAGCTTTCACGGTGAGCCAGGGAGTTTACCATGATAAGAAATAACGTTGGGCCCARGACACTGCCCTGTRGGATGCCCGCAGGAACYGGTTTCCACTCGGATGAAAYTCCATCAARGYASACTCTTTGAGAGCGCCCAGTYAGGAAACTGGTAATACTTCGAACCAAGGCAGGATGAACGTCGAATTGGCGCACTAYTTCGATTAAGATGTTATGGTCCACYCTGTCAAAACCTTTACTTAGATCATAGAAGCAAAGTCTCACTAAGTTGTTCGGATCATCAGTTGATGAGAGGAGGAAGTTCATCAAGTCCACAAGGGCACATGTGGTTGACGAGCCTTTGACAGAACCAAAGTGGCGCTTATCCAACGAGGACCCAATTTGTTGNTTTATGTCAAGGTTGAACGATCGTATAAATTATACTGGACAGAGAAAAGGTTTATGATTGCCTTTGTTCTTAGACAATAGATCACCTGCTAAAGGAGTTTGAATAACCAAAGTAATGTTTTTTAGCCTTTTTTTATATTTCTAACTCCTGGAATCTATATTTCACTTGTTTCATATTATTTTAAAAGTCACAAATTACTTGGAAAAATTCTGAATGGTCCGGAAAGGCCCGGAAATTGGTCCGGAAAGGCCCGGAAAGGTCCGGAAAAAAAACGGGCTGTCCAGGTGGCCCGGAAATGGCCCGAAGCGCCCCCGGAAAGACTCCGGGAATCTTTCGGAATGACCCCGGAAAAGAGATTGGAATAAAGATTTCCGATTTAGCGGATTATAAGCGGAATAGGCATATAGTAGTGGAATAGGCATATAGTAGTGGAAATTATGTAGAAGAAATTATGTCTTCAATGTCTGGTAATGCTATTCAAAGAACCTTTTTATAATTATCTTGGTTTTACAAAAAATCGCTATATTTATTTCTCTAAACACAAACAAGAGGCAACACAAGTAGCATATTATATATCTGCACTTTTTATTGATTAACAAATTATTGAATGACGTATATATGGTTGACTGTTGATCTAGAAGAGAAAACAAACAATATGACTCAGTTTTGAATAAATCTCTTTTACACAGTGTTAGCCTCAATCGTGTGTAAAATATGCAGAAATTTAAATAAAAGTCGTGATAATTTGAAATTTTTTTTAGGCTAACACTGTGTAAAAGAGATCCCGAAACTGAAGTATTTTACTGAGTAATTATTGATTGCTAYCCAAATAAGCATCGAATTTGTTATCATCTACATATGTGGTTTACATGCAGAGTAATAAAATTTTGTTTTTAGTTCAGAATCAGAAATGAATTAATGACCAACGCCTTGACCATCAAGCCACAGAAGGCGTTAATAACTTTCATCATTATAGTATTTCAAACACTACACTAATTGAAAACGGGACGGAAGTTANACTGGTAATACTTCGAACCAAGGCAGGATGAACGTCGAATTGGCGCACTACTTCGATTAAGATGTTATGGTCCACTCTGTCAAAACCTTTACTTAGATCATAGAAGCAAAGTCTCACTAAGTTGTTCGGATCATCAGTTGATGAGAGGAGGAAGTTCATCAAGTCCACAAGGGCACATGTGGTTGACGAGCCTTTGACAGAACCAAAGTGGCGCTTATCCAACGAGGACCCAATTTGTTGGAGGAGCAAGGAGTTTTTAAACACTTAAAAGTGTCTCTCATACAATTTGCCAACTGGTGAAGTAAGTGAAATTGGTCGCAGGTCTTTCTCTGGATCTTGGACACAGGATTTCTTAGGAACTGGGCAGACATCAGCTTGCTTCCATTGTGCAGGAAAGTGACCTTCAATAAGAGCAGAGTTGAAAATATGTGTCAGTGGCGGTGCAAGAAGCGGAGACATTTCTTTTAGAATAACGATGGGGATAGGCTCAGGGCCGCAAGATTTTTTATTGTTGAGACWACTYAGCATTTGTGACACCATTTCCGTTGTGAGTAGAAAGCTATCACGGACAGCAAAGTCAGGTGGGTCGTTGTGAGGTTCCAAAGGCTCGTATTCTTCAACAACTTTCAAAAAGGTGTCATTAATCAATTCAGCCAATTCAATTCCAGAGACATCACGGGTACCAAAGGTCAATTTGCTCGGAATTGTGCTGTTTTTTTGCCTTGTAATTGCCTTTACTCCTTTCCACCATTTCCGTGGGTTACCCGACTTTGTGTCTTCTAGATTGTTCTTATAATAGTAATTACTTCTTGCTCACTTCTGAAACTAAAACTTCTCACATCTTTGACGACCGACACCTTTTTCTAATAAACGTTACCGTAACCTTCGTTTTTTCCTAGTGAAAGGTTTTTTTTTCATTTTAATAATGATCCTGGCGCTTTTCGTTGCTCACGTAAAATTTGTAACACTTGTCCGTACATTGTCTCGCATACTTCCGTTGTTGGTCCTAACTCGTCACTCAGAATCACTGATCACTTTGAATGTACCACCTCTAATGTTGTCTATTGCATTAAATGTTCACTTTGTAATTTGTTGTATGTCGGCGAGACTGGCCGTCGTCTTGAGTCTTGGCGATTGTATAGACTCGGTCTATGAGTTTAGCTGTGAGTTTACGCGGTGAGCGACAATGATATATTCGAACTCGTTGATCTTTTCTTGCTAACTAACTTTTATTAAAMACATTTTCTCTTAAGTATACACATTTCTCTTGGGACACCACAATAACAACGTGTAGAACATCCGGGACAATACATTACATTACAATAATACAATACAATATAATAATACAGTTCTTTCTTAATTAATATCTCTTGGGGGCTTTAATTACTCTTCCTGATCTTGTTCTATGAGATCTTCTATGCTGATCCGTACAGCGATCGTATCCGTGAACATCTTTATAGTATTCGTCATAATGATCTTAATAAGCCTGTTTCCCGCCATTTTAACCTTAACCTTACTAATCATTCACTTTCTAACTTTATTGTTTTTTTGTTTTTTTTTTGTCTTTGATTAGCGGCAATAATGATTGTCGCAAAACCAAAGAAATGCGGCTCATTCACCAATTGGGCACTTATAATCCCCATGGGTTGAATGAACGCTTTGTTTTCAGATATTTTATTCCTTTGTATACTATATTTTCGCCATTTAACAAAATTTACCTAATATTGTGTTTTTAAAACCTAGATAATATGGGATCAAAATTCATTTCTCCTAAGCAACCTGGCAAAAGAGAAATGCTTGAAAGTCCTTGGATGATTGGAGAACAATGTATGCAGTTTTTGTACAAAATATATGGGTTGTATTCAAATCATATATTTGTTTTTGATCGTGATGACATTATAATATGGCTCAAATCGGGCAACAGAGGGAACAAGTGGCATTATGGGGAGATTTATTATAGAAGCTCTACGCCTTTCAAGGTACGACTATTTTGAAACAAATCCCAATAAGTTGCATGGCTGTTTAAATTTCTATTTTCAATTTGTATTATAGTTTAGACTCATGATGATGGAGGACAAGAATGGCAATGTAGCAATTGCCAATATAACTTTCTTGCAGACATTTTGTACTCGACCAGGTATTTTGGGCTTAATACTCTTTGATGGGAAAATACTTTATTATATATATAATGCCAATTTTCTTTGAAAATAGTGCGCATATTATAGACAATGCTTAATGAGATATTCATATGTTTCTACTTAGAAACTGCAACTTACTTCTTGACAAAGAAAATAACTGGTCAAAGACAGCAGTACAGAACTGAAAGTTATTCTCTGGTTATGAATGGTTTTTCAAAGATAATAGAATTCCAAATAGTCACACAAAAAAATTCTTTGAGTGATTATGTTTATTATTGTGTCCATCGCCAACTTTACAGCTATGAGATCGCTGCCAAGACTAAAAAAGTTTGGTACAACAATTTACCATTGGACTGCTTTTTCCGTATAATTTCGAACTTCAGCAATCTTTACATGTTTTTCGAACGTACATCTAAAACGTTCGACTATATGATTACAAAAACTTCCAACAAAAGGTGCTGTAAACAAGAGGTAGAAGCAATGCCAGTCAAAATGKTCAAACTCCCGAGCATCAATGGTTAGTATTTTCCCTTTTTAGTTTTTTTAACATTCTCTTCACCCATTACATGTCAATGAATTTTTTTAATCTTTTTTTTTCTCTTTTCCTCTATAATAGTTTGATCAAGAATCTTCTTTCTTATTTATTGATTTATGGATTTATTGATTAGTTGGTTGGCTGGTTGGTTTAT